CTTGTATTATTGATAAAATATTAAATTTCAAGGCAGAATTGAGTTCTATTGAAGTTTTTATTGCCTACTAATGTAAACTTGCATTTTCTAAAGAAAAAACTTATTGAATTGAAGCTTCTAATGGCTTTTTTTTTTTTTTTTTTTTTAAGGGCTTATTTGGAAACGGATAATAAATTGGGATTAATTAATTAGGATAATACTTGCCGTTACATGCCTCCTTATCAACATTTTTTAGGGGTTCAATTAATTAGCAAAAACTACTAATAAATTGGACATTTGACTTTTAAATTTAATTACTTTTAAGTGGCATGTCATTATTAGAGATAGTAAACCCAAAAGAGATTTCGGATTAGAGATGTTAGCGGGGCGGGTTCCTTTGCCTCCCGCCTCTCCGAGCATTTTCCTATCCATACCCGCCCCGTTACCCGTTTAAGTAGAGGAATGGCGTTTGCCTCTGTTACTTACTTGTTTAATTATTTTTTTTAAGTTTTTAATAATTCATTTTACTACTCCCTTAATTAATTAATGTATTTTTAAAAGTTTAATTATTCGAATATATTTGGTAAATTAATGTCTTTATTATTTATCTTTTTTTTTTAGATAATCTTAGTTGTCATTCAAGACGGGGCCCGCATGTATCGAGTATGACGGAATTTTTTGCCATCCCTATTCTGGATTATGCATTCAATATTATCAATTGTTGTGTCTTGGGCGGACATGTGCCAAGAAAATGTGAATTTGTAAATGAATTTACAATTAAGTTGTACGCGTTTCTTTTGAGTGATCGCATGACCCATATGTACATTAAACTTTACGTAATTGATTACATAATGTCATATGTCATTCTATCATTCGTCAATTTTAAATACAATCAATTTTTTTCATCTATATCATTTTATGTAATCTATTATATACCATTTTTATGTACAAGAGCATAAACACATTTTTTCATTCTCACAATAAAATATTTTACACGTAATTCAAAAAGAATTTTCTTATTTTTTAACCACACATTCTTCAAAGATTCACTATTTCAAAACTCATTTTCCTACTTTAATGATAGAAAAACCGGGCTTAGTTTGACCGTATTAACGTAATTGGGTAGTTGATTCAATTTGAATAGTTATATTAGACTAAGTGCTTTCTAGAATCATTTCAATCTCCTCATGTATTTATTCTTTTTACACCAGCTGAACTACAACGAATAAGCTCCGAAAAATCGATACAATGTAACGATTTGATTTTCTAAAGTTCATTTCCTTTTTCAAAGTTTGATCAGTTTGTTTAACTACAAAAGTTGATTAAAATTTAAGTTAAAATCAATAATTAATTTTAACTACATTAATAAACCTCATAATTTTTCAACCACACATTACTTTAACTTTTATCAAAATATACTAAAAATTAATTTTTAATTAAACCAAACAAAGGCTTAGTCCTCCTGTTGGCTTTTGAATAACTTTATTTGCTAAATTGCGGCAAAAAATTTGGTATGGAGCAATCACTGTGGAGGAGGGTCTCTTGTGCGCAGAAGTGTACAGTCAATGGGGGGAACCTGTGATCCAATTAAGGCATAACCCGCGATTTACGCCCTCCAAGGTTCTAGGGACATGGATTTTGGAGGTCCAGGATTTAGTCTGGTAGAAGATGGGATACTTGGATATAAAAAAAACTTTATATGCTACTATGATCTCTATAAATTAGAGAACATATAGAATATAAACAAGATAATGTTATATATTTTGACTTCTTAATTAAAAATTTGATTAAAAATATATGATTAGATTGTTTATTGATTTGGGGATGAAACCGAAAGAAATAATACGGCATAGGAAGTCTACAGCTCTTTACTATTACATTGGAAAAAGCAATTTTAATCTTGTTATGTTAAACAGTAAATATTAAATAAATCGTGCTTATTCTTAGCTCGCTCTTCACAGGCTGCTTTTGAAATAAAATAAACATGCAAAAATAAAAAATAAATATATAAAAAATTTATTCATCTTCTTGTAATTTCTTAAGAACTTGAATTAGACAGATTAAAAATAAATTAAATAATCAGCGCCCGCAGAATTTAGATTTCAAGACAAGTAGGCTGGATCCCCCAAAGGCCTACCCCAAGGTGGAATCCCCTGCCTTGTCCCCTACCCGTTACCCGATTAATTGGGTAATCCTCGTCCCATTCAAGACGGGACCCACATGTATCGGGTGTGACATATTTTTTTACTATCCCTATTCCAGATTATGCATTCAATATTATCGATTGTTGTGTCTTGGGTAAGAAAATGTTAATTTGTAAATGAATTTACAATTAAGCTGTACATATTTCTTTTTAGTGATTGCATAACCTTGCCATATGTACATTAAATTTTACATAATTGTCTACATAATGTCATATATCACTCTATTATTTACCAATTATCAATACAATCAACTTTTTCATTCATTCTTTTTCATCCAAATCATTTTGTGTAATCTCTTATGTACTATTTTTATATATAAAGGCATTTTTTAAACTCATTTTTATATTCTCATAATAAAATACTTTGCACGTAATTCCAAATTTTTTTCTTATTTTTTAATTATAGATTCTTCAAAAATTCATTATTCCAAAACTTATTATCCTACTTTAATAGTAGACAAACAGGGCTTAGTTTTACTGTATTAACGTAATTGGGTAGTTGATTCAATTTGAATAGTTATATTAGACTAAGAGCTTTCTAGAATCATTTCAATCTCCCCATGTTTTTATTCTTTTTACAGCGCAGAACTACAACGAATAAGCTCTGGGAAATCGATACGAGGGTGTTTAGTGAAAATTAAAATTAGGTTTTTTAATAGATTGTTATAAAAAAATTTGAAATGTATGGTTAAAAAGTTGTGAGATCCATAAAAGATGTGATTAATATTAAAAACCTGTTTGAGCTACATTATTCGTAGAATGAGAATGAAAAATAGAGTCGTTATGGATTCCATACAAGAGATAGAAATTCAAAAATGGTGGCTTGATGTGATTGATAACGGTCATATTTTTCATTTTAATGAAGTAAAAATGGAGCTCAAACAGGGCCTAATTGTTTGACTTTGACTTAGATTAAAATCAGATTTTAATTCGAACCAAACAAGTAATTCGATTTGATGTTCTAAAGTTCATTACCATTTTCAATGTTTGATCAGTTTGGTTCTTGATTAAAAATGATAATGTTATATATTTTGACTTCTTGATTAAAAATATATGATTAGATTGTTTGGTGATTTGGGGATGAAGCCGAAAGAAATAATACGGCATAGGAACTCGACAGCTCTTTACTATTACATGAAAAAAGCAATTTTAATCCTGTTATGTTAAACAGTGAATATTAAATAAATCGTGCTTATACCTGGCTCGCTCTTCACAGGCTCATTTTGAAATAAAATAAACATGCAAAAGTAAAAATAAATATATAAAAAATTTATTCATCTTCTTGTAATTTTTTATGAACTTGAATTAGACAGATTAAAAATAAATTAAATAATTAGCGCCATGTAGAATTTAGATTCCAAGACAAGTAGGCTGGATCCCCCAAGAAATAAGTCATTTGTACAATAGATTTGTATAACATGTTTGACAATGGTGTAGGTGTCAAAAAAGTATTGATGAGAAAGATAAAGTATTTTTAAAACTGTCCAATGATAATCTGTCGCGCAGCATGTTGTCAAACTTATTGTAAAAATCATTGTACAACAAGCATGATTCATCCTCCAAAGGCCTGCACAATAATAATAATAATAATAATAATAATAATAATAATAATAATAATAATAATAATAATAATTTTGAACCTTTTTATGCTAGGCAAGGAATAAAAATTGAACTAAAAGTCGATTTATTTCACAAACAGAGTATGTGGTTTTTTTTTTTTTTTAATTGATGTATGACATTTTATAGTAAAATCATCTTTTTATCTTTTGTTCCGACCATCAAACATCATTTTCGATTTATTATTATTATATGGCCTAAGCTTTGATACAATTGATGTGTAAATTAAATTAAACCATTAAGACAAGAATTATTTCACATATGTTTGATTCCATTCTTAAGTTTTTTCCATCTGCAAAAAATATAAATATATATGCCTAACCATTCAGGGTGTGTTTGATTGCCAATATTTTGTATGAAAAATGTGTTTTTCCACCTAAATTTCTACTTCTGTGCAATTTGACTAACATCTTTCTGTAGAAAACATTTTCCCACTTTAGGTCACTTGACCATATTTTCCTCAAAATCAAGGAAAATATTTTTTTAAGGAAAGTATGATTTTATTTTTAAGGGAATTCACTCTGTCATTCTCTCTTTCATCTGCCTACCAATAAAAATCAAACAAGTATAATATTTTCTAGGTTGAAAATTAAATCAATCTAACACATTTAATTGACAATTTACATATAATAAGTTCTAGGCAATGAATTGTCTAGATTATATTTTCTTTTCATATAAATTTCATACTTGCAATCAAACGCTGCCTAAGATAAATTTCCTTGATTAAGAATGTTGATAAGAACAAGATTAATATAAGCAATTGGATGAAATATCCAAAAGAGTTAAAGGGAAATGGTCATAAATCACTAGATTAAACTAATAATAACACACAAACCAGCATTAATTAGGGTCACTTTCACATTCTAATATAATAATCCAAGTTTTGTATTTGCTTTCTCATTTGCTTTTACGTCCTTCAAAAACTATACATTGCCCATCTGTCACCATTCGGACCCCTATTAAAATCTACCCAATCTTTTACCACCTTCTCCTTTTCTTGTTCTCATCAAACTTTCTCTCTCTCTCTCTCTCTCTCTCTCTCTCCCCCCCATTAATTAGGGTCACTTTCACATTCTAATATAATAATCCAAGTTTTGTATTTGCTTTCTCATTTGCTTTCACGTCCTTCAAAAACTATACATTGCCCATCTGTCACCATTCGGACCCCTATTAAAATCTACCCAATCTTTTACCACCTTCTCCTTTTCTTGTTCTCATCAAACTGTCTCTCTCTCTCTCTCCCCCATACACACAGACACGCACTCAAATCTTCCCCAAGAGGTCACTTTAATTCATCAGTGGTGTAATCACTTAATCTGGGCCAAGTTCATGGGAAGTAGATTCATCAACAACCAGTTTGTAAGCGAGGTAGAAGATGTCGAAAATTCGCCTGAAAACAGTGGAGATTCGCCCACCTCCACCATGTGTAACGATACCAAGATGACTTTCACTTCGTCTCCAAAGAGAAGGTTTGTAACTAATTCGATACATAGTAATAGTCTTTCTCCCCGTTTTTAATACTGTCAAGTACTGTCTAATTCACCAAACATGCCAACACGATATATGGCTCTATATTTGTGTGTTTGTGAGAGGGATTTCATTTATGTTCCAAGAATATTTTAGGGTTTGATTCTATACATGCATGAGTGATAGGTGTCTTTGGGGGTAATTTTACAGTAGGCGAGCCATTCGAAAAAGAGTGGTGTCGGTGGCAATCAAAGATGTTGAAGGATCAAGGCTTAAGGGCGATCATATGAGTAATCCACCTTCTGATTCTTGGGCATGGAGAAAATACGGCCAAAAGCCCATCAAAGGTTCACCCTATCCTAGGTAATTAATTAATTTCCAATTTAATGTCCCCCAATTTTTTAGTAATATTTGATAAATCTTTTGTGGGATGAAATTTTTTTATGAATTTCGTTTGATTATGCAGAGGATATTACAGGTGTAGTAGCTCAAAAGGTTGTCCCGCAAGAAAACAATTGGAAAGGAGTAGACAGGACCCTAATATGTTGGTGGTAACATATTCTTATGAACACAACCACCAGTGTCCGGCTTCTAGGAATCATCACATCCACCGCCGTAACGCCGCCGCCGCCGCCGCCATGACAACGACACATACTACACCTTCGATTTCTGAAGAAGAAGAAGATCAAGATCAAGATCAAGAGCAGAAAGAGCCCATAATTGCTTCCAGTGAAGCTGAAATCAATTCTGAAGATAAATTTTCCAATCTTGATGAAGGGTCCTTAATTAACGGCAGTGAGTTTGGATGGTTCCCAGATTTTTACCCTACTTCTTGCACCATGCTAGAGAACCCGATTTTAACTGAAGACAGAGATAATACTGATTCCGATATGTCTATGATCTTCACAATGCGAGAAGAAGATGAATCACTTTTTGCTGATCTTGATGAATTGCCGGAGTGTTCAACCGTGTTCCGCCGTGAGATGGTGCAGAGAGAGGTGGCGCACAGGCGGCGCAGCCTTGCAACCACCGGGTGAGATCAGCCAATACGTCATATTTGTCTTTTCTTAGCAAAATATTTTAATTTCAACGAGATAGGCGTATCGTGCGGCGTGAGATAACCCAGAAAGAAAAAGTATTTTTTATGTTATTTTTCTTAAAATATCTTAGCGTAGTGGTTAGGGAATAAAATGTTAATTTATTTGCATTATGTCATAATCTCATTGTAATTAGCACCAAAGCCGTCGGTTAGAGGTAACTTTTCGAAATATTACATTTGAAATATATTGTTAAAAATTTATAATTATACTGAAGATCCTCCCCGGCAAATCAGTCATCCTTGTTCACCAAAAAAAAATAATAATAATAATAATTAATTAATTAATTAAAATAATAATAATAATAATAAATGAATAAATAAAAAATGTACCTACCTTTCATCTATTTTCATGTCAAAATCAACAACATAGGGCGAGTTTTAAGAAACATATTATTGTCATCAATGTAAACACATATGTATATATAGGACTACGCTATTCGTACCTGGACGTTTACACGCCTGGTTACCTAGTCTCACCTTCCCCTTCAAATGGGGGTCAGGTCCCACATGTGGGCCCCAACGTAGGACCTCGCCCATGTGAGGGGGTGGTGGGGTCGGATAACCGATCGTGTAAACGCCTGAGTACAAACGACATTACTCGTATATATAAGCATATGTTTGTCTCCTTTCTAAAGAGTTTTTGGGAGAAAATGATTTCTAAAGAGTTTTTGGGAGAAAATGACTTTTTAAATAATAATTTTTTAAAGAATGTGCAGTTAAAAATCATGAAATAATCTTGAATTTACGTGTAAAATATTTTATTTTGAAAATGTGTAGTTGAGAATAAGTATGAAAAAAAAAAGGTTTTGAGAAAAAGTGATACAAAAAGGGGCTAATTAAATATATAATCCTTTTAATTAAATTTGAAAATGAATTATTTTTGCCATGTTAGATAAATAATTAATATTTTGAAATTTACAAGACATTTTATTTATAATGATGATCCTTAACTTTTATTAATTTTTACATTTATGTGTCACATTTTTCTTTTTTTCTTTTTCTTTTTGTATTTTTATCCACAATCTTCATTAATTAATATATTTTGTCCCTAATAATGAGAAAAATTTCGTTAATGTTGTGTTTGATTGGAAAAATTTCCAAGGAAAATGACAAGTTTCACCTGAATTCCAACTTTTGAAGTGTTTGATTATCATTTATTTCCACAAAAAATATTTTTTCAACTATTGATAATATGTCTTATTTTCCTTGTTTTTGAAGAAAATATTTTCTTCGAAAAGATGTAGGTTTTTATTTTTATCAAAAACAAATATTTTATATGCCAATCAAACATACCCTAAATGAATTAAAAAAATAAAAAAAAGTTACTTATTCCTCATATTTTTAAATAAGATAAACAGCCATACGAAAGTTCAACAACAAAAGAATTTTCCAATGTTAGCAGAATAAATGTGCACAAATCGTCATTACATACAATATGTACTAATTAATTGAAAATTAAATATGAAAAGGTAAGATTAAAAAGTAAGTGTGAGAATGAAGACCTTCATTAATATTAAAATGTGCTACTGTTAACAAAAATCGTGGTATAAATATAACTAGGAATACCAATAAAGGGCTTTGCAACTTGTCAATTTTAGACAATGGACGCTTTTTTGGAAATTAGCAAAAAAGATTACTTTTAAATAAAATTATGAAAAAATTGCAGCAACGGTCCCTAACCTTTTCATTTTTTGCAACTAATAAAATCATCCAAAATACCGTCCAATAACACGGTCAAAAAAGGTATCAACATCAATAAAACTATCGTGGTAGCAGATAATTCAAGAAATTTTTTCAATCAACTGATGGTGTTTTGGACGATTTCCATAAAGATGAATCTCAAGTGCATATTTATCAAATGTTAGGAACCTTTACTGACACAAAATGAAAGTTAAGGTAAAGTCTGCAAAAAATGAAAAGATTAGGGATTGTTATTGCAATTTTCCCTAAAATTATTGAAAATGCTCTTAATGTTCAATTTTTCATAAAATCTAATAATTATTGGGCAGGTGCGCAACTTTTGAGATAACTTTTGAAAGCTTCCAAGACACAATTCATTTTGCTAGATGGATTGTATGCTAGATAGTTCTAACTATATCGAAAAACTATTCAATTAATTAAAAAAAAAATCAACTGTCTTTTCGTAGGAATTCGACTAATAAAGACAGTTTAACTTCCTACATAGATGGTTGAAAATATTTTGATTAGTCAAATTGTATTACTTCTTCAAGTAGTTAGAAATGTCTTGATTTGTCTAGCGTACTAACAACTGCTTCATCAAATGAATTTTCTCTTAAAAACTAAGATTTGTATCCATCAAATAGCATATAATTTTTTTGTCAAAAATAGATACAACTGATATTTCATATGTAAACTGGCATTTCCTAATTTCCTTAAAAAAAACAAAAAAAAAAGTCATTTTTTTCTCCCACTTGACAAGGGACCCCATATAACTACTCATCTAATATAGAATTATCCTAAACTTTTCTCACTTTAAAAGAAGAGAGAAGATTTTATTATTACTCGAAGAGAAGAAAGAGCCAAGCCCGATCCAATCTTACTAATTAAATTATATTTTTTACCCTTTTCATGCAAAAAGCTAATCCATTTTCACTCACAATAAAATTATAATAAACTAACTAGTCGGAGAGAGAGAGAAAATAAGTAAACAAGTAATTCTGCTATCTATGCCGGAAGAGTTTTTCCTTTTGGACAATCCCTTGTCCAATTAGGGGGGCGACGTGTTTGGATAGGGGATTGTCCAAGTAGCACGCCCCATACTAGAAAGGTCAATCTTAACAAAACTTTTGACTTTCAAACATTGATAGGAGTATTCGTTTAATCTTGTCATTCCACATGAAAACCCTAACACCATGGTCGATGCACATGATCTCTACTAATCCTATAATAGACTAATTATTATAATCACAATTAAAAATAACATATATTATTAAAGCATTTTTAAATCGTTGATTATTATCATCTACGGTCTAAGCGAACCCACTTTCTCATTTTAGATTGCTCTTTCAAGTAGGGTCTAACTTAATACAAGTAGGTAAGGAGATGCCTTAATAAGGGACCCCACATGACCTTTCATTAATATTCAATTAATATTATTTAGCACAATTGATGTATAATATCAATTTAGGTGACAATATTTGTATCATTAAATTAAAGGTTCAATTAAATCCAAAAAATTATGACCCATTTAATAAGACCAATAATGTGCTGACACCTAATTGATATTCAACGATGTTAAATAGCATTATTTTATTTAATACAATCTATAAATATTTGAATAATACTATTTAGCATCAATTTTGGTGGCTATATTTTATGTGTTCAATTAAATAACTTATGTAGTTTCACATTTCAATAAATAAATCATTTAATACCATGTATTTATCACCTATGCAGGCAACAATGATAAATAACATTACTCTAAATTTTTTGTGGTTTAAATTCATGTCATGGTCGATTATCAACTACAATTTACAAGTCCTTGCTTATCCATTTCATTTGGTACATAAATTTATGCTTCAAGGACCAATGAGACTTGACTGAGGTAGTTGCAAAGCACATCACTTGGTCTGTATTTTAACACTAATATCAAATATTAACCCATTTTGATTCCAATGCACCACATGTTTCAAAAGGTTAATAATATTGAAGAATTCCACAACTTCTGAACCAGAATTCCATCTATATTGAAAGCAATAGAAATAAAACCTGCGGTTTCTAACAACTCTTTGCCTGCAAAAGTAACATTTCCCAGGACTCTTGATATAGAAGAAAACATTTCTTCCAGTCATCTTCTTCTGCAAGAAAATTTTGGTGTACATGAAGACATGATTTATGTCGAACAGCAACCGCCGCTCTTCATAGCGGATAAATCTTTACTGACGTCGATTTTCTCACCCTTTGAAGGAATGTTCGATGCAGCTCCATTCTCGCCTGTTTCCATTGTCTTCTTGCTCACAATACAGTATATCTGAGTAAGAACCTCAGCAAAAGCATTTTCCACATTAGTTGCTTCCAGTGCAGAAGTTTCCATGAAGTAGAGTGACTCCTTCTCAGCAAATGACTTTCCATCCTCAGTCGAGACTGCCACCAGATGTCGGAGATCAGACTTGTTCCCAACGAGCATGACAACTATATTGGGATCAGTGTGATCCCTCAACTCTCTTAACCACCTTCCAACATTTTCAAATGTGGGGTTCCTCGTTACATCGTAAACAAGCAAAGCACCAACTGCACCACGGTAGTATGCACTGGTAATGGCACGATACCTAGAAACCAAAAAGGATCCAAGCTATTAAAAATTGTAGAAAACCCCAAACTAGTGATGGAAAATTCAGCAAGGCCTCAATGTATTTACTGTCACCATAATAACTACAAAGGAAGTCTCTGTTGATCAAATTAATATCAAAGGTTATTGTCATTAACATCCCAAGCATCTCTTCAAAAAAACTACATTATTTCCCTAAAAAAGAAAAGTTCTCCAATAAAATTTTTCCTATAAAATGTTCAAAATCAATGCTTGGAGACTTTGACTAGTTTGAACTAGAAATGCAAGCCAAGAGTGCAAGTATGATGACTGTGGCAGGATTGTAATGGCACACCCATGTGAATTAGACATAAGAAGTTCATGACAACCCAGTGATAGTAAGCTATAAGGTTATGTTTTTGAAACAGCTAAAAGAAAAAGGAAAAAGAAGGCTGTCATCGTGATCAAGGGCCTCCATCTCTGGCTTGTCATTGCCATTGCTGGTGAACAACCACAGCAATATGTGACAACAAGACATCATAAATTATAGATAATGCATAAAGGTCTAAAAGGTCCCCTGGGGATAATTGCGTAGCACAAAGCCTAAGCACACTTTATCCAATAGCACTTGGAGATGAAGGCAAGCTTAATGAGTTTTGTCTTCAAATCATCATCTATCATTGGATGAAATTGCAACTAAGAGATCTTACGCTAGAATATACTCTCTTATTCTTCAAATGTTGAGGCAGATAAAAATTAAATAAATAAATATAAATAAAAATAAAAATTCTTTCCAAAAAAGTATATCAGAACAATTAATAAAGAATTGCAAGATTCTGCAGGTTCTTTGCTGAATGCTTTCTTAGTATATAAAATATTTAGGCACAAAAACCTCTCATTTATTCATAGAAAAACTTGGTTAGGAAGACTCTTAGCTTTCCATGAAAATTCCTTATTGGCTAAAGATTTTAAAGCGACCTACTTAATACTCCTATCCATTAATATTGTATGACAAGTCTTTCAGGGGTCTAAATATAACTCTCTCTTCATTTTTATAGAGTTGATCAGCACAAGAACTTGATATTCAATTTCAGGAATTTGGGCAAAGCACTGCTCTCATCTTTTACAGTAAAATGATTACAATATATTGGAGAATAGTGGATAGGGAACCTTCAACCTAATGAATTTGTTATAGAAATTTTCGGATCAAGTATTAGGCCATGCAAACTATAAATCTCCTCTCTTGTTCTTCTTCTAAAGACCTCATAAAGTCATCAATAAACAATTACCAAACTGACTAGCCACTCAATCTACACAAATGTCCAACCACAGCAATCATTTGTACGGTGCTTTCTGAAAGTTTTTCTGAAGTTGTCCTGCATCACTCTGGTGGCCACCAGGCATCCACTCTACGTATTTGTATATAAGTTTAGGCGAATCCTAGGAATCATTGAAACATTCAACCAACCACACTACAAAGCATATAAAGAATAGGAAAATAGAATAAATGAGATCAAAATAGTTTGATCAACTAACCTCTGTGCAGGAGAAAAGAAGCAACATGTACCATATATGTGAATAGAGAGGATTCTTATATCCCAATACCCTAAAAATCTCCGTTTGCTACTATTCTCAACTAAACACTCATATATCAATATATGATATAGCTACAGAAGAATAATACTAACAGAGATAATCTACTCAACTTACATTACACTCAGAGAACCCTTTTTTTCTCTTTCCTGTTATTACCATTTCAATCCAATATCACTGTTAGTAATTATACCTAATTGGATGTTGTAATATTCCCTTGAATTATTTGAGGATGTAAAATTTTCATGTCCTCGCCACTTCAAAGTAATATCACCGTGAGTAACTTTACCTAATTGGAAGTTGCAATATTCCCTTGAACTATTTTCGCATACAAACTTTTTCATGTCCTCATCACTTCAATCTAATACTGCAGTGAGTGATTTTACCTGATTGGAAGTTGTATTATTCCCTTGAACTATTTGAGGATACAATGGTGGTCACAATATACTGATGACCTCTTAATCTTAACACCAAAGTTCCAAGAACTCTCAAGAGTAAAGTTCTGAATTGCTCCCTGTGGCAACTCCATTTCCGTAGGCCAGATTTATCTCCCCTCAAACCTTGTTAAAAATGATAATAACAAAACAGGTATCTTCTAGGAAGTTCATCCTAAGTGATACATGGTAGTCGTATAGTTTCTTGGATAGAAACTTACTTCTTTCATTCAATAACTCCCATATTTTAAGATAGAGTTTCAAAAACAGTTTTTGTGGTTTCTATTATTATAGTAGCGTCTGTATTATATATATTTTTGAGTCAATAATTTTCAAAACTAGACAATAATTTAAAGGAAGATCTATGTAGATGGATTCTGTACTCATATATTTAACTTGCAGAAAATTCTGGTGTTTGATTTCAACTGCAAATACAATTACATTCAAACTGTTAGCACTAGGAGTGAATGCACTAGAAGGATTGTCTTCACTCCTAATGAATTGCACATAAAATAAGCATCAATAAGTAAATAACTCCATCACACAGATCGCTTAAGAGCGAACAACCTCCTCAGTAAGTTCTATATACAATCTAAAACCAACAAGCACATGATTTGACTAAATGGAGAAACGCAACACATGAGAATCAGTAAAGAAACTAAGATCTATCAGTTCAAACAACAAACTAACACTCAAACCAAGACTATCGAATGTACAAAGCATGATCCACCTTTTAAATCAAGTTCAAACTTCTTTATCAGATTAAATTTGAAATCTCGTTCTCTCTCATATCAGATCTCTTCAAATACGCCACATACTCTGCAACTCATTCTTTTCTTTACATAAAACAGCCATCCGGAACCATCGAAGTTCACTATATACTTTTAAAACACATAAATTGGAGGCGCATACACAGAACCCAGATCAAATTTTATCGATTCTCGAAAACAAAGATCTCCGCTATCTAATTTATCATAACATACACCAAGAAGCTAAACAATGTAGGTAAATAAAGCTGCAAAAGGGCAGATCAGAACATTTTAAATAATTACTTCAATGGTTACCTTTCTTGGCCAGCAGTGTCCCAAATCTGAGCCTTGATGACCTTTCCATCAACATTCAAGCTTCTGGTGGCAAACTCAACACCAATGGTGGATTTGGACTCAAGACTGAACTCATCCCTAGTGAATCTTGAAAGCAAGTTGGACTTGCCAACACCCGAATCCCCTATAAGAACCACCTTGAAGAGGTAATCATAGTCATCTTCTGCTCTGTACCCTGACATCTCTCTTCTCAAATTTCAACACTGGTTGAACTTTTTTTATTTTCTAGGTGTAGGAATCAAGTTCAGAAAACCCTCTTTCTTTCAAATTGTAGGATTTGGTGGAGATTTGTTACTTGTTAGATTTCCTTTTTACTGTCATTTGCGAAAAGGGTGAAGGATTTTTAATTTTTATTTCTTTCGGTTTCAAGGATTTTTGATTGGTTGGCTCTCGACCCTATTGCCCACAGGGACAGGGTCGAGCACTCGACCCTATTGCCCACGAAGTCAGCTTGTGCCCTAATGCCTACGAGGCTCGTGGCTCGAGCTTAGCCCATGAGCTAACCGAATTTATTTATTTATTTATTTTAAGATAAAAACCTTCCTCTTTTATTCGAACTTAAGATTGATTACTTAAATTTCTAGTAATTGAAGTTAAAAATTGTATACAAATAACTCGTTATTTGAAAAATTAAAATATCACTATATCAGTTTTTGGCAACTTAATTGATAATTTATGAAGTTATGTATTGTATAACTTTGTAGCATAAGAAATTGTTGGGTATATATGCATTTATCATATAATGATATTGGTTGACAATATAAGATCCATGACAATTATGGAAGCATCGCATATGTTAATGATTCAAAGTATCTCGATGGAACAACACTCAATGGTATGTCTGTAAGAGATATTATTAAAGAAGTCGTTGTGCTAAATCTATGCACATGATGTTCGGTAATCATCATACTTTGAAGACATTTAGAGATATGCTTGTTGGTCATGTCGAATTTCTTGATGCGTAGAATATGATTATTTGTGTATTTCAATTTTTTTTTTTTTTAAGTTTAGCATTCTCACAAATGAACAATTGTGAGTTCTATATTATAAATTGTTGTGACTATCGGATAATCATCTACATGCATATATAAAGTATGTCAAAAATGTTGAGATTGACTCACCCACGCGATTAATCACCTCAATTTTGGGATATGTTGGGATGAGATAACATGATCATGTCGTGGGCAAGATCTGATCGTCTTAATGAAGCATCAAGATGATATTACTATGAGTAATTGAAATAGATTCTACCATCTATTAATATATTTAGTAGCTCAATCAAGTTTTCAGTTTGAGATTACCTTGAGCATTGAACATAAGGATAACTCAAGTTAGGCATAATACCTAAACTATAATCTATATAGTATTATTTATTTTTAAAGAATATGACATGTTTTAAGAGAGGCAGAAAATATCAGTGCATGTATTTTATACATGTACTTTTACAATCAATAGAGGGTAAATGAATGGATCCTACTTGCTCATTGTATGAGACCCCTATATTTATATAACTTCATATATACATTATGACTATTGAGTGTTTATCAAGATTTTATTTCAGTATTGCTACTTTAACATGTTGTCATAATTATGATTGATTCAATTTGATGGATCATATCTAAGAAAGTAAATGATTTAAAGTTGAAGGATTCGAGTAAGAAAGAAAAAATGTTTTGACTAACATTTTTATTTGCATTCACTAGTCGAACAATTGTATTAACCATTTATGGGTTGTGAATACATGAATATGATATGAAGTTCAAGTATGTTCCATAATTATTCAAGAGTAGATATACTTGAATTAGTGTTAAAAAATAAGTTTGAGGTATAACAAAATGTAATGCTTCTATATGAGAGCTGCTATATCCATAACAAATTTATAGTACCATGAGATCTAAAAATGTACTCATTGGTCAAATGATATATTTGCCATATAACTCTTTGTTAGATAGATCTTGAGAATGATCTAATGTGTGATATTAGTTGTTAGGTATCATTTGGGTCAAGTCCATCATATTCGTGCGGGAGATGTTGAAAAATAGTTTATGGGTCGTTCATGTGAAATGACCCAAACCGTTGTCCATGTGAAACGACCCGACCCTCAAGAATGGATTGGGGAGAATAGTTTGAAGTTGGAATTCAAACTTATAAACCTCCCTCAATTTCCTAATAACTCCCCTTTAACGTGTCTTGCAAAAATGGGAGAAAAAAATTGTTAAAAATTATGAAACGCCCTGGGACCATAATTCTTGCTAGAAAACTTGATACATAGATTGTGAATAATGATATCCTCCCACTGTGATCGGGATTGGGACCATGGAAGTGCAACAAAATATAAATTTTGGAATATGAAAAAACAATGCGATTCAATATGAAGAAATTGAAATCATGTTAAAAAATCTTTCAATAACAATTTCCAAAGAGGGAGAACGAAATAAAATGAATGGCAAAATAAAGGTGTGCAAAAATTCCAAAAAGACTGGACCCTCAAGGCCTGATCGTCGACCAAAGGGTCACACCTAACCAGGCTATGCAACGGATAGCTCAATGCATTAACATCCTTAACTTTTTCATTATTGGGTTTGTATGTATTTATAACTTATACCTTCAAGTCCATATCTCTATTGGAAAGTGTTTGTACATATTTCCATTGAAAACAAGTCCACATCTCTATTGGAAAATGTTTGCATATATTTCCATTGAAAACTTTTGTCCATATTGTATTGTATTTTCATACCGCTCTTACATATTATTGTGTCCAAAACGTGCATAAATATCTTTCAATTATATTATTTTTTTAATAATATATTCTTAGTCATTACAAAACTCTAATAATTTAGTTTCTCGTGTTTTAATAGTTATGTAATCGATCAAAGTATTTTTTTTATTTTACGTAATAAGTTCTGAATATGATTGTGTTATCATTTAAAAATTTCAATAACACAAAAGATATTCTCAATATATTACAAAATCTACGTGCAATGCACGTGTTTTTTACTAGTATTTGGAAAGTGCTCAACTTCAATAACAAACAAGAAGCGTTTTCCTAATTCTAATTATGATTAAAGTCCCGGTTTGGTTCAACTAAAAATTTAAAGTAAAAATTAATAGTTAATTTTAACTAAATATTTTATGGGATCCACAATTTTCAACGACATATTCCATCAACTTTTATCAAAATTTACTAAATATCTTATTTTTATCTAAACTAAAGAGAGGCATAATGTCAATCACTATATATTGCTAAAGGAAAATAAAATTTAGATTAATGCAAGTCTGCTACCCCCTCCATAATGCTAGCCTGCCATTACTCCAATCCAAAGCAAATATTTTTACAACTTTAATGCTAGCCGGTCATTAATAAATCAAATTTAAATAATTTTACTACTCCTTATTTGCTTGTAACAATTATAGTCGAACTAAAAATCAAGAACATTAGTATATTTCAATTCCTTTAGTCACATCCTAGTCTAAAACGTTAAATGCATGAATCAACCCTTGTGGTCCAATCTACTTTTCGAAACTCGACTCGAGCCGCAATTTAGTCTTTTAAAGATGAAAAAAAAAAAATTACATCGCGTCCACACATGAAGCACAACCAGCTGCAATACACCAACTTTATTATTGAATGAACCTTGCTACATGTACACTATGGTGTACACTTTAGTTTACACTTTGTCATGTGACATTGCCCTATTGAATAGTTTAAATTTCAAATAATTTTTCCATCCAATTGACACTTGACAACAATGCAAGTGTCAACCAAAGTGTTAAAAATCAGTGCACAAATAGCAAATTTCATTATTGAATAGCGAATAATGCTATTTATAGTTAAAGCTATCGATAGTCGTCCTACGTCGCATACACAAGACAATTTGTTATTTGATGGTTGAGATAATAAAAAGCTACCATATTAATACATCAAATAATAAATTGTCATGTACATGCTATGTAGAGCGATTACTTATAATCTTTACTATAAATTAAATTACTTTTGAATTACATACAGCCAGCCAGCCAGCCAGCCATGAGGACATGTCTTTATCAATTGTCTCATATATATCGTTTATAATTCCATATATAAAAACAGTAACACATCTGTCTATTTTCTCACCAATCCCATCCCCCTTTTTCTCATTCATTATCTTATGTTAAGGTTCAATCATTTTAGCAAATGTCCACCTCTGAAATTTCATCGTCTTCACCAAATTCACTGCCTAAGGTTTCTGTTTCGGTTTCAGTTTCAGTTTCAGTTTCTACACAGAAAATTCAATCGGTGTCCAAATCAGTTTCTGAAAGATTACTTTTCAAATTTTCAGATGTTTCAGAATTCGACTTTGATTATTCACGAAGTGGGCTATGGTCCCCTCCAATTCAAAGAAACGTGTTTATGAACTCACCGGGACAGATTCTCACTGAGCATGACATGGCTGCCAAGTTAAGAAGTGCATTGGAAACGCAGCATGCTCGGAGAAGAAGATCTCGCCTTTCTTCTTCTTTTAATGTACGTATGTTTTTCTTTTTCAAGAAATTTCATGCTTATTTGATGTATATACATACAGATATTTACTGTTTTGCAGGCATGCTTGTGTTCTCCAAAGAGACGCTGATTGAAGCTCATGAGGCATGCTTGTGATCATTTTATAATTGTCTTTATAAATGTAAATTCTTTTTTCACCTTCTCTATGAAAATTTAGTTCTAAAATTTTATGTTATTCTTGGGTACATCAATTTCTATCAAACAACAAGCATAAGGCATGAATTGGCACTTTAATTTGGATAAGAAGATATGGGAAATCATGAAAATTATTACAGTAATTACTCTCTTCGTTCCAATTATATAGACTTATTTCGTTTTTCACTTTGCTTAAGAAATCTTCTTTAATGTAATTGGATAATTAATTTTTATCAAGATCTTTCATAATTTACCTTTATTTAAATTTCACTATGTAGTAGTAAATTATTATTGGATTAGTAAAGAATTTGAATGATTTAACTTGAAGAAGAAACAAGAGTTGTTCTATATTTCCAAAAAGTGGAAAATGTGTGTATTTGAATTATTTTAAGATGTTGGCATATTAAGTGGGAAAAATTAAATAAGAGTATATTGATAAAGGAACAAAATAAAATATTTTAAATTAGAAAGCAGACATGTTTGGGGCAAAAAAAAAAAAATGAAACTCAGCCTATATAGCGCTTGTTTGATAGGGATGTTAAGTCAATTAAAATTATTTTTTTATCGTTATTTTACTATTTCAGTCGTCATTTTTGAATTATTCTCTCACAGATATGATCAACTTCATCTTTAACGATCAAAAAATTATTTAACAAAATTCCAACCAAACGTCGGAGAGAGTAATTGATATTTACGGTAAACGTTTTGTTGGAGTTGGAGGCAGCGAAGAACAAAATTCAATTCAATTAGTCTTTGGATTCTTGGTCGTCCAACCCTACCAAATTTCTGACATGTGACAGATAGATAGTACCACTACGATGCCAATAATATGGCTTTATGTGAAGAATCCCAACAGTTCCTTCCTGCATATGTCATTATTAAGCCCCTGTTTAAGGACGGCTTATCTGTGAATTTTTATCTATTTTCCGATCGTCAGCCACAACCGTCTAAAAAAAAGGAAGCAATTGTCTTTTTTTAAATTTGAATTATCAGAAATGTTCTCCTCAAGAAGAACGAGTGCAATGTTAAAGAAGCACGTAAGTCATTTCGTTGTCTACTCTAATTATTGGGTACTGAGACAGTCAATAATTTTTATTGGTACGAGATTCATGTGCACTGTATCACCGTCAAAAAAATTGTTGAAAATTGAAGAATAGGAGTGACCAGGTAGGACTAAAATTATAAGATGACATGCATCAATTTTGTAGTCATGTCCTCTGTTAGAAATGAGCCTTCTATATAACAATCCTACTATGTGTACAGACGACGGTCGACAAAATCTATACAGATAAAACACGGCTGGAGGAGGTAGGTTTTTTCCCACTATTTTATTCACATGGAGCCCACCCCATATGAGAGATCTGTAGCATTCAAACCCATTTTTATACAAATTGAATTTCCCTCTATATAAATATGTCATATTTACTTGCCAATGTTTTTTACTTTTCTATTTTATCCAAAACATTATTGGACCCTTAGTTCTCGACACAAACGTTGTTGCAACTTTGTCTCAGCTTATCAGTTTTGTTACTTCTTAACGGCTGAATAGTACATTTCGGCTTGTTAATTTCCAGCCCGCCGTTGGCTATTTTTTTATTTTCTTTTATTTTATTTTATTTTTAAATCGAAACGGGTAGCCTGAATTTTCACTGTTTTTCCAACATATTCTATTCTGACATAATTTCAGCAAAATCCAAAACATTAAACGCATCTTAAAAAATTCGGACACGCAAAACCTGTCCCCTTCGCTATAATCTGAATTATTTACACGTACAGAACAAGTTGAGATAGCATTTAATTTGAATCTCTGTGTGGTCAAGCAGAACCACTGAATTCTAACTACAAAATCAAGCATTTAAATTTGCACGCAACAATCAATGATTAATAAGAAACTTTAAGCTATGCTTTCCTGATGTTTAAATATGGGATAAACGCACTTCATACACTTTGTCGTTTGTCAAATTGTCCACTGCACTGACGAAAATCTGATACCTGTACCTTCAAAATTTGAATTGTGATTGAAAAAAATAATAATAATAAATAAATATTGAATTTTGGTCAAGAAAGCACATACTGGTAAAATTCTTTCCCTCCGGTCACTCCAGTGTACTACTCCATACTCATTTTACATTTTGGCTGTGCCATTGACTCCATCGGGATGCTCATTTGCAACTTTTATTGTACCTCAACTTCACTTTTATACGGTCATTTTCACCATGGAAAAAATTTCCACGCCAATAAATGTGATAGAGCCCCCATCCAACGCCCACTCCTCTTAAAAGTTCACAGGCATTTTCAGGGTTAGAGAGAGGTGGTTTAATGCCCCAAGTTGATTTATCTTTATAGGTTACAGACGGGGACAGACCAAACATGTCTAACTATGGAATCAAAAATGAAAATTCAAATTTTTTTTTAACAGCGTATCATTAACGAAAATAAAATCATGTGCTACTATAATTGTAGCCTAAGCATTTTCATACACTGAAAACGTCGTATAATTACATCGTTATCAATATTGTCAAATACATTGCTCTTTGAATATGCAATCAAACTATCACTTAACATACCTTTTTCAAATTTTCACAATAGTCTGTAGTCGAGTAGCACTAGGATCGGACCTATCTAGCAAGAGCCGAGGGTTGAGCCGCTGAGGGACAATCGATGGTGGAGGGCCAATGGCGAACTCGCGAAGAGAAAACGGGAAAGTCAAAAAGTGGGAGAAAACTCACGTTTGGTTTGCACTTTGGGAAAATGGGATTTAATTTGAGAATCTTGGAACTGGTTACAAGTTGGATTGGATAATTGGAATTGGGCTTTGGGAATGGGTTTATATTTATGGATATGGCCCATATGGATATATAGGTGATTGGATTTGGGTTTGGAAAATTAATTGGGTCTGGCAATAAGGTAATTGGCACTTGGTAACCGGGTAGTTGTTAGGTTCTATGAGATCATTTGACCCCACATGACCCATGTGGATCCGTCCCTGATTACAGATAAAACTTTTGCTTCCAGAATAAATTTTTTTTCTCTGCCCCCTTGTCTCAATCCCTGCATACATTGCTTAATTACAAGTAAATTTGTAAAATGAAACTATACCCGTTATAATGCCAAGAGGATGTCTGGAAAGTGGGATATAATTTTTATCTGTATAATTAATAGAACCACAATTCATAATCATTTCCCAAACAAGTAATAGACTTCCAATTCTAATGTCATAATAGAGGACTTCCAGATTTGAAGCAAAGGCAAATAAGCAACCTAACATGAGATGCTGAGGAAAATATGTTTCGAAAGGTGATTTTCTGAAGAATGTGCAGTTAAAAAATAAAAATAAAAATAAAAGTTTGGATTTATGTATAATATTAATTTATTAAAAAATGTGCAGTTAAAAATAAGTTTTAAAAAAGTGTATTTTTAAAAAATAAAAATAAAAATAAAATCCCAAACAGGTATGTTGTAAAGTTTTATAGTAGTAACATCAACATGTATTCAAAGTTCAAACACAAATCACAACCATCCTCCATCACCCCGGTCCCAAGAAAAAATGAATCTTTAGAAAAAATGTATTGAAAATTTGATTAGTTAAGGGCTCATATGGTTTATGTTTAATTTTGAGTTCATTTTCAGTTTTCAGCTTTGAATGTTTGTTTTAAAATTGCTAAAAACGCGTTTATTTTGTTATTTTGAAAAATCATTTCTCAAATACAAGACTAGAAAATACTTTTTGTATGAAAATTTGAAAAAATTATTTGATAGCATTTTATTTCATAAAATGTGATTATTAATTAAACATTGAATAATTTAAAAATTAATAACGTGGAATGAGAATTTTTTCTCTATGTTCCTTTAAATATATATATATATATTTTTTTTTGAATTTTACGTAAGTAATCATTAAAGAGCTTGAACTTTTTTTATTTAAATTTTTACAAAATTTTTATTTTTTTAGAATTTTATTTTTAATTTTTAATTATTAATTTTATAAATTTTATGTAAATAAAGTTTTGTCTAAACACTTGTTTTCCACATTTTGAATGTTTTTAAAATTCTTACTAAAAATATTCAAAACATCAAAAATACATTTTTAGTTTTATATAATAAATTTAGCCTGTGTTTGCCATTTTCAACATATTTTTAGACGTTTTTTGCCCGTTATACAATAAAAATGTAGGTGCATTTATTGACCAAACCGATGTGATTACCTTTCTATGTTTTTCATATTTATGTCATTGTATTTGAGAGGGGCATTTCAACGAATTTGCATGTTGTTGAGTCAAAAAAGGATGGCTACATATGGGCCCACGTATTATTCCAAATGATAAGATATCTTCTAAAAATGACTAGAAAATAGGTACCAAACAAAATGTTAACCTTATTTTCAAAAACACATTTTCAAAAATATAAAACCAAACACGTTTTCAGCGTTTTATAAAATTGAAAACTGAGAATGTCTCGAAAACAACAAATTAAATGTAACCTAAGTTTTTCCCCATACTATGGCACATGGTTGTGGAAAATAGCCTATCAGACTCCTATTCTTCTTTAATAGGAAGATGACATGTCTAATACGAAGCGACAAAAAAGAGAGAGTATATAGTCTACAAGAAGGTCCATAATTTTCCAATTGTTACATATTATATCGTAAATAGACTCTCAAATCGTCTCAAATTTCAATTGCATGGGAGGGATTTTGATTTATGTTGCAATACTTGGAGGTACGATTTATATCATTCGATTTATTATCAGTACCAACTGTAAGCATTTTTCATAACTACAGAAAAATAAAGTAGAAGTCGGAAACTCTAGCTAATAATCAGATATGAAAGCACTTTTGCATAATAGAATGTCAAATTTGAGATGATTTAACTAACCTATTCAAGTTTAATATTAGAGCGTCGAAGAAAATCACAAACTCTCTAGTTTAACATGTATTCTTGCCAATATCTCGAAAACCGTCTTCTAGTGGATTAATGGTCACTTACCTCAATATTGGACCCACTAAACATGATGATGTGTGAGTAACCTTAAAATTAATTT